TCCAAACAACTGAAATTTGGTAAAATCTTTTAAAAATAGTTGAATTTTTGAAAAACATAAATAAAAATCATCAAATTTTTGAAGAATTTTAATTATAAATATAACCATGATTTTTCCGAAATTTTAATAAGTCTAAACAAGTAAATTTTTATAAATTTTTAATATTTTTATTCATTTTGTTCTCAAATAATTGAATCTTACAAAATTACGATAAAACAATTCTAAGAATTAGATTTTAAAATTTTTTCGGAAATATGTAATTGAAAATATTGAAAGTATTGAATTTTAAAAATATAGAAGTTAGTTTTGATATAACTTTTATTGATTTTCATTTTTAAATTTACATCCAAAGATTTTTCATTAACATTATAAAAATCAACAGAAATCAAAATAAGTTGCACTAAGTATTTTACTAAAAATTTTTGTATTTTGTTTCAATGTTTGGAAGAAAAATCTAAAGGGTCGCAATTTTTGAAAATAAAGTCGAAAAAAGTCTCAATTTTCATAATTTCCCTGACAAAAAACTTTTTTCCTGACATTTCCCTGACTTTACTGACAAAAATGTTTTTTTCCTGACATTTTCCTGACTTTACTAACAAAAATTTTTTTTCCCTGACAATTCCCTGACTTTACTGACATTACTATTTATGAACTATTTATTAGTAAAAATTACTAATTAAAAAGTCAGTTAATAAAAATTTCTGTAGGTGATGCATTTTTGAGCATTTTTCTTAGACATTTAAAAAATTTGAACTAATTATTTATAAAATTGAAGCATTTTTTGAAAATAGATGGATTCTTTTAAATTTTCCAGCTTTATTAAGGATACTAGAGTAAATTTTTAAAACTTCATAAAAAAATGCATCAATTTTTGCAAAATGATCCAGTTTTTCATAAAACTAGAACAAATTTTTAGAATTTTAAAGAAAACTGCATCAATTTTTTAATAAATGCCCAATTTTATGAGAAACTAGAATAAATTTTCAAAATTTAGAAGAAAAATTTACTAAAAAAAAGCTCTATAATTTTATATGGAAGTAGAGTAAAATTTCAAACAAAAATTACATTAATAATTTTAGAAAAAAGCTCCAGTTTTTCATATAAGTAGGGGAAAATGTCTAACAAAAATTGCATTACTTTTAGAAAAAGCTCCACTTTTTCATAGAAATACAGGGAAATTTTAAACAAAAATTGCATTACTTTTAGAAAAAGCTCCACTTTTTCATAGAAGTAGAGTAAAATTTCAAACAAAAATACTTCAATTTTTAAAAAATGCTCCAATTTTTCATAGAACTAAAGCAAAATTTCAAAGCAAAACGCATCAGTTTTCGAAAAATACTTTAAGTATTTCATATTATAGAAAAATTTCATAGCAAAATTCATCAATTTAAAAATTTTAGGTAATAAACCTAAATATTATTTTCTGTCTCCCTCATGGAAACTTTGTTAAATTTTTTTTTCTTGTTTAAATTAAAGAAAAAACGAAGAATTATCTTTGGATAGAAATTTTCGAGAAACTTGTTAAAAATCACGATTAATAGAAGTTAAAAAATAGATAGAAAGAGAAGAACAAAGAACGAAAAAAAAGAGAAAAAAACACTCTCTTCTTGTTTTTAAGATAAGAAGAATACAATGAATACCTTTTATGTACTTTTTATTTAACCGCAGGTGTTGACACGTGTTAGTACAATATCTAACTTCTCTAACTTGTATTAAATGACAGATTATTATTGCGCTTCAGATTGAAAGTCCGTTTAAATTGTGATATCACGCTTTAGTTCGACGTAATAATACCGCACAAGAAAGATTCACCGTTCTCCTTTGTTTTTGCATCTCCATATATACTATATACTACATACTTATAATAGTTCTCATATCTAACCATGAATTATACTTTTTCTTCCAAAAAACATTTCACATCCGTCGCAATTTTTATCAACCTATAACTATACATAACTGAAGGTCTCACTGAGCCAAAAACCGTTTTTCCTGCCCTACAATAAATTCAACTTCTATATGGACGATTTTCCGCAAAGTGGTGACTGTTGACTTCGGTACTTTTTTTAATTAATTTTTTTTTAATATACTATTTCTTATACTCAGATCTCATTAATAATAATTATTTGAAATTATGAATTTGTAAAAAATTTTGTAAAAAGAAAGTGCTAAATTAGAGCTGATTTTAGGTGATAAAATGAAACCAAATGACCGAAATCGGTTGTAATTAATATTTATCTTTTTATTATATATTTGAGCAGAATTATTTTTTATTCTTGTATCAATAATTCAAAATGTATTTAGAGCTTAAACAATAAATTTAATTTTCAAAAAAAAAAACTAACTCTTTCAAACAAACTATCAATGGAATTTCGAAACTCACTTAACTACTTTAATTCATAAATTAAATAAATATTAATTCCCACTTCTATTAAATTACATGCTTAGTAGAGATTATTCGAGGTTAATAACATTTTTCAGGAAAACAAAACGTTCAGAGATTAAAGATACAAATTTATCTTTACTCTCTGAATGCCTTCTTTTTCTCAGAAACTACTAAATTATTTATTTGTATCAAATACATTTTATTTATTTCGAATAAATTTTATTTCTTTCGAATTTTATTTGTTTCAAATAAATTTTATTTGTTCGAATAAATTTTATTTGTAACACATAAATTTTATTTCTAACGAATAAATTTTATTTGCTTCAAATATAAATTTTCTTTGCTTCAAATAAATAAATAATTTACTAGCCTCTCTTACTTTTTAACTCAAAAAAATTATATTTGGTTTTAAATTAAATTTTTCTCTGGGTGCATATACATACTCTAAATTATAGACACCAATTACACATTCTTAATTCCAGAATAAATTTTGTACAGTGAATTTATAATACCGTTGAATTTGAATTAAATAGTAATTCATTAAACGAAATGATAAAATTGTAATAATTATTAATTACAAATGAATTTTATTTATAAATGCAAAAAAATCCTCAAGGCGCAATAAAAGAATATTTTTGTACCTTAGTTGCTTTTTAATTAGCATTCTTTTAATATTACATGCGCATCGAATTAAGTCTATAAGAATAATGTATCTGATGGTTTAAAATATACTTATTTTTTATGAAAAAAAAAAATTATCATTTATTATATTTACAAATTCAGATCCTTCATGAGTGAATGGAATATCTTATTTTACAACACTTGTTTCTTAATTGACTTAATTGCGCCTTTTTCTTCATTTTATATGTGCATTTCATTTACGATAAGAAACCCTCCTCTTTCTCTTTTGCCTCGTAAAGAAAATTTTCAGTTTTCCGATACATTGCACACTTAGGAAAAATATGTTCAATGACTTTTGTGTTATATGTAAATATGTTTTGTGTACATGTGCATTTGTGTAAATGATTTAAAGGGTTGCCACGCTTTTGCTCTTTTCAAATTCTCTGACTTTTCCAGGTTAAAAAACAGAATTTTTTCAGGTTTTTAAAACGAAAATTATTCAAAAACATCAATAACTTCATTTCTAAATAAATATTTAATCATTATTATTTTTTCATAGTAATTAAGATTTTCAAAAGTTTTAAATTCAATAACATATAAAAATATTATAAAACATGAAGAAAACAATCACTCCGATCACAATTGAATTTTGACAAATTTTTGAATTTAATTAAATTAAATTGAATTCTTTTGTTTAATTTTATTGAAATAGTAAACATTGATAATAATTGAATTTTGACAATTTTTTGAAATTAATTAAATTTCTACGAAGAATTTTATTAAAACTATTTTGAAAGAAATTGAATTGTTACAAAAAATTTCATTAATATTTTTAAAAATAATTGAATTCTATGAAGAAATTTAATTAAAAATGTGTTTTGAAAATAATACTTAAATTCTAATAAATAAAAATGTAGCAAAGGTTTTTAAAATAATAATGGAATATCTTTGATAAATTTTAATCAAATTTTTATGAATAATTACATTTTTCGAGGAATTCCATTAAAATTGTATTAAAAATAATTGAAAGTATGCGATGAGTTTTATTATGTATTTATGGAAATCATTGAATCTCGGTAAAAAATATTATTTCGATGAGTTTTCTTTTATTATGTATTTATAGAAATCATTGAATCTCGGTAAAAAATATTATTTATGATAATAATTGAATATATATTTATGAAAATAATTTGTAAATAATTGAATACCTGTGAAGAATTTTACTACTTTTGAAAATAATTGAATTTCTGCAAACATTTAAAATTGACTCAAAATTCAATTTGTTTTAATGTTTTTAATTAAAATTCTTCTATAAATCCATTATTTTTAATAATCAATTAACTTAATATTACAAAATTTAACTAATTTTAGAAGAACTTTAGTAATTAAATTTTTTTAAAATCTTTAAAATCCACAAATTATAGTTATCGACGCTTACTTCAGGGACATGTGTTTTGGGTAAATGTGTATGATTTTTGTGCATATGTGTATGAGTTTTTAGTATATGTGAATGTTTTATGTATATGTGTATGAGTTTTGGGTATATGTGTATGAGTTTTAGGTACATGTGCATATGCTTCGTGTATATTAATGGAAATCAGTAACATTTTCAACTCTAAAATCCGCAAATAATAATTTTCAACGCTGAGCGTCGACGCTTACTTCAGAGACATGTATTTTGAGTACATGTGTCTAAGTTTTGTGTACATGTGCAAGTGTTTTGTGTACATGTGCACATGTTTTGAGTACATGTGTCAAAGTTTTAGGTATATATGCACGTGTTTTGAGTACATGTGCACGTGTTTTAGGCACATGTGCAAGTGTTTTGTGTAGATGTGCACATGTTTTGTTCATTTTCCGGTTATATTCTGATTCAAAGAAAGCATTTCTTTGCGGGTAACAATAAAAACATAAAAAAAAATAGAAGAGAAAGAAAAATAGATGAAGAAATATTCTAAATTGATTAGTAGTGAAATATATTGTAATTAAATTACAGGTGTCCCCGAACCGGCGCTGTCTGAACCAGCTCAACAGCTGATCGGAGTACGAAGCGGCGGTGAACGGGGCCACTACTGCACCAACACCCCGCGAAGAATACAAAGGGAGTCTTGTTATACTGGTTACCAGCAAGCTTAATTAAATTTACTGAACAACCTCAGTGTCCTGTGAGAAGTAAGTGGAGGAGGAGGAGAAAGAGGGCAAAGCGTTTAGCTTATCTGGATAAGCCATCATGGTCAAAACTTTTCAAGCGTACCTGCCCTCATGCCATCGCACTTATTCGTGTATTCACTGCCGTGCTCACCTCGCCAATCACGACGAACTCATTTCTAAGGTGAGTTACTATCCCCAATATGATACTTTAATAAAATTACAAAATTTTTTTTGCAATATTTTCTTTTTTCTATTTTCTTAAATTTATAGAATCCTCCCCTCCCCCCTCCCACCCCTAAAATCTGGCCCATATTCTCCACTTTCCCTCCTTTTTCTAATCTTCCAATTGCCACACTGGGTCAATTTGACCCGACCTTTATAATCACGCCATTTAATAAAATTTGAATCGATCCCTAATGTTAGCGTCAACGCTAAGCGTCTACAAATATTATTTAGGATTTTTAAAAAGAAAAGTGACACTAATTTTACTGTTTAAATTCACTTGGAATTCTGAAACTTTCAATTTCAATGTTCGAACTCATCTAATTTTTTCGGTTTCCAGGGTTGCAACAAAAGTTTTATTTTATTTTTCCCTAATTTCCAGACAAAATTTTGACTTTTTCCCTGACCCAAACAAAAATATTCTGATTTACTATAACAATTATTGGATACTCTAGAAAATGTTCTATTACATTTATTTATGAATTTCTTTAATTGTAAAATTATTCGAAAACATCAATAACTTTTTTTTTGAATAAATATTTAATCATTATGATTTCTCTATATGAATTAAGATTCTCAAATGCAAACGATCTGAAATTCAATAACTTATGAGAATATTATACAAAGAAATCGACCTTGGAGTGATCACTTTCTTCGTGTTTTATGATAAATTTAAGATAATAGAGTGATAAAATCATTATTTCATATCATAAGAATATTGTAACTATAAATTCAAATTTTCAAAGATTTTAATTTTGAACCCTTTTCAAAATTCAATTATTTTTAAAAATTCACGCTATAATGCTCTTAATATTCAAATTATAATTTAAAATTTTAAGTAAAATTCATTATTTAATCAATTACAATTTTTATTAGAAATTTATCGACAATTCAATTATTTAGGTACAAAAATAAATAATTTATTAAATAATTTAATATTTCTTAAAATTAAATTTTTATGAAGAATTTTATCAAAATTTTTAAAAAAGAATTGAATTCTTTCGGCGAATTTAAAAAAAATATTTAAGAAAATGCAATTTTATATTATTTTATTTAAAATTGTATAAAAAATAATTGAAATTCTGCCATAAGATTTTGTTATTTAAATAATTGAATTCTTGCAACAAATTTTATTAGCAATTTTTTTAAATAATTGAACTCCTGTAAAGAATTTTATTTGTGAAAATAATTGAATTTCAGAGAAAAATATTATTATTTATGGAAATAATTAATTTCTTATGGATTTTTAATTGAATTTCTCAATTAAAAAATTGAAAATAATTGAAATCTGACGAAGAATTTTATTAATTTTTTTTTCAAATAATTGAATTCCTGTGAAAATGTTTATTCTTGTAATGAATTCAATTTTATCAAAATTTTTAAAAATAATTGAATTCTTTCGCCGAATTTAAAAAATAATTTAAGAATAAATGCAATTTTCTATCATTTTATTTAAAATTATTGTATAAAAATTAATTCAAATTCTGCCATAAGCTTTCTTTATTTATAAAAATAATTAATTTCTGGCAACGAAATTTAATAAAAAAATTTTAAAGAATTGAATTCCTGTGAAGAATTCTATTTGTGAAAATAATTGAATTCCAGATAAAAATATTATTATTTCTGGAAATAAATAATTTATTGTGGAGAATTTTATTCAATTTTTTCAAATAAATTAAATTCCATCGAGAAAATTCATTAAAAAATTGAAAATAATTGAAATCTGACGAAGAATTTTATTAAATTTTTTTTAAATAATTGAATTCCTGTGAAAAATGTTTATTTTTGAAAAGAATTGAATTCTGGGGAAAAATTTTATTAAAATTTCTTAAATAATTGAATTTCTTCAAAGAATTTTATTTTTTACGAAAATAATTGAATTGTTTCGAAGATTTTTACAAACAATTTTGCCAATAATTGTATTCCAAAGAAGAATATCTTTTTTTACAAAAATAATTGTATTCTATGATCAATTTTTTTATAATTTTTGAAATTTATAAAGTATTTTATCAAAATTTTTTAATATTATTGAATTCTCGAGAAAAATTTTATTATTTATGAAAATAATTTATTACTTGCAAATAATTTTATTCAAATTTTTTTAAATAATTGAATTCGCATAGAAAATGTATTATTTGTGAAAATAATTGAATTTTTAAGAAGAATTGTATTGGAAATTTTATTAAGTAAATCTTGTAAAGAATTTTGTCCCAAAATTGTTTTAAAATAATAGAATTTTCAAAAGAATTCATTTCATCATAAAAAAATTAAAAATAATTGAATTGGTTCGAAGAAATTTATAAAAAATTGATAAGTAATTGAATTCCTGTGAAATGTTTATTAAAATTATGAGGCAAACAAAAAAGACTCTAAAATACAGAATTTTCTTATAAATTCTAAATATTTATTTTTTTCTAGTACTTTTAATAAAAATCCCTGACTTTTCCCTGATTTCCCTGACCTTTGGCAACCCTGGTTTCGCAGAAAGAAAATATTTTTGTCGCTTAGCGTCGACGCTAACTACAATTAGGTCAATTAAATTGTATTCGAACCAATAATTTTAGTATTCGAAATATCATTTAATAAAATAGAAATATTTTCTAAATTAAATTTTTTGCAAATATTCCTGAAATTGTCTACATTTAAAATTAATAATAAAATTAATAAAAATTATATAAAGAAAAGATGCACTATAAATTCACTTGTACTAAAAAGTTTCAATTTAAATTCTACATACACCATAAAAATTCTATTTCAAATAAATTTCGAAACACTAGCAACTTAGTCACGTGTTTTTTTTGAGGGAATATTAATGCGTGTTTCAATATCCTATATTTATAAATACACAAAGAATTGCTCTCCATTGTATTTCTTTATCACAATCTTCTCTATTTTTAGTCCTTCCAAGGCAGTCAAGGACGTGCTTACCTCTTTAACTCAGTGTAAGTTGAAAAGTATATGCAAAAAAAAAATATTACACACACAAATTTTCGAATTTAAATTTAAAAGTCTCATTCATTAATTGGCATATTGTATATACACATTAAAAAAATAAAGTATCAAAATGATAAAAAAATTTGATATTCATCGTCTAATTAGTGAAATTTTTCAACAGGGTGAACGTGGGTTGCGGTCCTGCCGAGGAACGAGTTTTATTAACCGGCCTCCATGCTGTAGCTGATATCTATTGCGAATGCTGTAAAACCACCTTAGGGTGGAAATATGTGAGTTCAATTCGCAAAAAATGAATTTTTAACCTATTTCACGAGTTTAAATTTAAATTACGAAACAAAAATTTAAAAACTATCTTTTTTTAGTTGAATTCTTCTTTCAAAGTGTAACTAAAAATTATAAAATTCCAAATATAAAAAACCTGACAAAGTAGAAAAATAACTAAAAGGAAAACTAACAAATAAAATAAAAAAACTAACAAACTACAGAAAAATAACTATAAAAGGAAAATGAAAAAAGAAAATAGAAAACAAACAATTAAACTAAATAAACCAAAGAAATGAAAAATAATTCCCAAATACAAAAAACAATTCCTAATTTCCCTAATTACATAAATATACGAAATCTATAATTTTTACCCTAAAAAATTTTATCTACACCTTCTGTTCAAAAATTTTATTTTTTTCAATTCTTCTAAATAAAATGAAAGAGAATAAAAAAAATAACAATGTTTAAAATACGAGACAGTATAACAAAGAATAACAAAGATATAAATCTATAAATACTTATCAAAGTTTTCACGCAAAACTTAATTACAATCACCTTTCTTTTAAAATTGTTAGAGATTAAAAATATTTTTATCAAACAATCAATTAAAAAACACAATTTTTAATTACACTTTCAAGAGAAATGTTTTGTAATAACAATTTGTAATGTATAATATTAGAATCAATCTTTAATGAGTGTGTAATTTGTTTTTAATTTAAACAAACAATAATAATTTGTTTGTTTCAATAAAGAGAAAAAAAATTATACACCTTCAAGAAGATTTTTTAAACAAACATATAAATATACAATAAAACATTTTTTTCCTCCTTTGATTATTTTTATTTCGATTTTGTTCTCTTGTCATAAAAAAAATAATCAGTGTTTTTCAAATTTTATTGTTTAAGTATTTTTATAATTTTTATTGTACGAGTAACTTTTTTAATTTCTATTGTATAAATTTTGGAGTATAACTTTTTGTTCAATGAGTGTTTTTTTTGTAATTTTTATCGAAAAAGTATTTTTGTAATTTATATTGTGAATGGGTATTTTTTATACTTTACTTTATACATTATTTTATCTTATTATTTCTTTTAGTATTCTTATTGTATAATTTATAGTTTATTAGTGTTCAAGTATTTTTGTAATTTTTATTATACGAGTGTTTTTTTTTATAATTTTCATTAAAAAAGTATTTTTATAATTTATATTGAATGAAGTTTTTTTTGCAATTTATATTGTTTATTAATATTATTTGCTTAATATTTTTATTGTAAAAATTTTTAGTGTACAGGTATTTTTTTAGTTCTTATTCTATATGAATATTTTTTTTTGAGTTCTTTAATAACAATTAAAATTTTTAAAGAATACAATTTAAAAATCTTTTGAAATTTACCTATTTTGAAAAATTTCCACTACGCTGAAAAAACATTTTTTTTTTAATTCAAAAATAAAAAGCAAACCGAAAGAATATGTTTGAATTAAACATTATTAAACAAATAAAAAATAAATAAATTAAAAATATTTTATAATAATTGAATTAAACGTAATTTTTATTGAATCAAACTTATTATGTATCAAATCAAAATTATTATTTTTAATTCCAAGATAATTTTTGGTTGACTTTACATAACAAAGATAATTATGTTTGATACAGAAATATTGTTTCCTCAGTGTATAACGCATCTAATATTCAATTATCTAAAATTTTAACTGAAATTCAATTTTAAATCAATTTTTATTAGAAGTTCTACGAGAAATCAATTATTTAAATACAAAAATAAATACTTTATTGAATAATTAAAATATTTCTCAAAATTGAATTCTTATAAAGAGCTTTATCAAAATTTTGGAAAACAATTGAATTGTTATGAAAAATTTTATTAAAATTTTGGAAAATAATTAGATTCTTTCAAGAAATTTAATTCAAAATATATTGAAAATAATTATTTAATTCTAATAAAGAAATTATATCGAAAATTTTTAAAATAATTCAATTCTTTCGAAGAATTTAAATAAAATTTTTAAGAATATAATTGCAATTTTTTCGAGGAATTAAATTACTTATAAAACTAATTAAATTCCTGAGAAGAATTTTAAATTATTTTTAAAAATGATTGATTTCCAGAGATGAATTTTATTATTTATAAAAATAATTCAATTATTGCAAAGAATTATATTAAATTTTTTAAAAATAATTGAATTCTTGAGAAGAATTTTTGAAAAATCCTTTTTAAATAGTTGATTTTTTTGAAAAAATTTTATGTACATTGTGCTTTAAATAATTGAATTCGTGTGAAAATTTTATTATTTATGAAAATAATTGACTGTTTGCAAAGAATTTTATAACATTTTTTTTTTAAATAATTGAATTCGCATAAAAAATGTATTATTTGCGAAAAATAATTTAGTTTTTAAGAAGAATTGTATTGAAAATTTTATTAACTAAATCTAAAGAATTTTGTCAAAATTGTATAAAATAATAGAATTTTTAAAAGAATTTTATTTAAATTTTTCGATATAATTGAATTTCTCAGAACTATTTTCTTCAATTCTCTGAATATATTTAAACTTTTTCGAGAAATTTCATTAAAAAATTAAAAATAATTGAATCGTTCAAAAGAATTTTTTTTTAATTTTTTGCATTTTTTCTAAGAATTGTAATTATTAAAATTTTTGAGAATAATTTGTTTATTCAAACTATTGAGATTAATAAATTCAATGTAGTAAAAAAAAGTTTTTTATTGCAGAATTTTTTGTATTTGATTGTAAGTTTTATTGTAAAAATATTTTTGTAATTCTTCTTGTATGAGTAGTTTTGTGTATCAGTACTTTTTATAATTTATTTTATTACCTATCTATATTAATTTATTAATAAATTACCTACTTATTTTTATTATTTATTTAATATTTCTATTGTAAAATGTTTAGTGTTTTATTTTTTGTAGTTTTTAGTGTATTTATTTATTATTTATTTTCTTTTGTGACGCCCTCTAAAGAAAGGAACCCAAGAAGCAAAATCATTTTAAGGTTATGTTTGAGTCTTTTTTACCTCAAATACAAGTTTCTTTGTTCAATTTAAAAATAAAATCAGTTTCTATTAATTAATTTAGATGTAATAAACACTTAAACATCACTCGTTTATAATCGAAAGTTAATCATCTTTTGTGCACTTTCATTCCAAAAATTACGAACATAACCTAAAAATTTTACCTTTCTTCAGATCGAGTCCTTTTTTTTGTATTTTATTTTATTAATTACTATTTACTTTCAAAGGCTAAAAATATGGAGTAATTTTTAGCTTTTAATTTACTTTTTGAAATTTATTTTCTAAATAAAAAATGCCAATCAATGGAGACTAATAAACAAATTTTTAATTTACAGGAGCACGCATTTGAATCGAGTCAGAAATACAAAGAAGGCAAGTTTATCATAGAGCTTGCTCACATGATCAAGGAGAATGGATGGGAATGAACCATGAAGGGGGATCAAATCCCCTTTCTCCTCTCAGCAAAAAAAAACCGTTACCCAGAAATGCCTACGATCTTGTAATTTTGACCTCCCTCCCCCAACCCCCTCTTCTACACCCCCCCCCTTTTCCCACTCTGTCAAAACCACCAACGAAAGTCTGTGATTTCATTTGTGATTTATAATCTTAGTAATGTTTCTGTTTTTGGACAATTTGAAGCCGATTTTACGTTTTTCTGATTGATCCAACAATATTATTATATTATTATATTATTATTATTATTCTAATTATAATAATATATATGCTACGATAGCGACCGTTTCGCAAGAGAGTTAAAAACAAAAATTTTCGCGCAACAGTCACCGAAGTATTGTACAAAAATTATTTTTCAAAAGAATATAAAAAAGAAAAAACAAAGTAAAAGAGGAAGACAAGAATTTGATAACAAAAAAAAAAATAGGAAACAAAATAAAGAAGAGATAAAGATTTAAAAAAAAAAAGGCGACGACGTATTTACAAAGATATATATGGTGAACATGATGACGAAGGTGCCATGGTGGGAATAAAATTTCGAGAAAGCTCCCAAACACGAGCTCTGGGGTGCCCTCCTTGATAATTTTTTTTTTTAAATCCTTTATTCAGGAGAAATGAAAAAAAAAAATTTCACCTGCGGGGGCACCCCGAAAAAAATTCGACTTTTTCGTACACATATATATAAATATATGTCATGTATGCAATGGAGCAGCGCAAGTGCCACAGACTTTGCTGGACTGATTTGCCTGCCTACCGCGTCTATCATTGGAATTTCACTGCCGAATATTCCTAATATTAATTGAGAGTTTGCATCTGCATTTAGGCAGATGCAAAACGTAGATTTAGTTTTATTCTATACATTACAGCGTAATTAAAAACCTGTACTATAATATTATAAGATTCGTATAGAAACGTTAAGCTAAATTAGAATCTAAGAATAAAAGAAAACTGGAGAGCGAGAGAGAGAGAGAGAGAGAGAGAGAGAGAGAGAGAGAAATAATAACAGATATACGAGAAAAGGTCGTGAATGTATTAGAAAAAAATTCTATTGAAAATTTGTGTGCTCGGATTTTTATTTACTGCCTGCCAAATTTTGTCTGATTGTCTGCCAGTTGCCACACTAAAGTTAATATAAAAAAAAATAGTTATGTCGTCTAGCGTAACGTGTTAATATCGTAATTACATCTCATTGGCTCTGCAGGGTGTGACACGAGACTGAGTCTTTTCCCATTCAATCATTATTCAATCGCCAATCATTCTCAAAAAAAAAAAATAAATAAAATCAATTTCCATTCCCTTCTAAATTTTTTCTAATCGAAAAATAATTTTACAATATTTACAAATTGTAATTAAAAATTGATTCCAACATAGACACAAATTCAACAAATATTGTAAAATAAAGAATTGTAAATAAAATTTACATCAATAAATTCCAATCATTTACAAAGTGATTTTTGTTTTAGAAAACAATTATTTTTTTTTCTTTCTAAAAAAATATTTCGCTTTTAAAAACATTTTAAAAAAAAACATTTTAGAAAAAATTATTTTGAAAAAAATATGTTCTTCCTTAGAAATTAAAAACTGAAAATATAAATTAAAAATAGAAACTAAAAATAGAAACTAAAAAAAGAAACTAAAAAATTGTAACCCTATAAAAATATGTTTCCGCATTTTTTTCTCCTTTTTATTTATTTTTTGGAAAATTGAATCATTTAACAAATTTAATACCCAAATACATAAAAATCATTAAAATAGAAAAAATGTAAGCACGTTGGAATTCTAATCACCAAATTTTTCACATCATTTCTCAATTTCACAAGTTGAAAAACTATTTCCTGATATCATCCAAGAGTCGTATTAAGTAATATTTCCAAAAAAAAATTCTGAACGTTCAAATGCACAAAATATTTCCACAATTCAAATCGAAACGAAATTAAATATTTTGAATTTTTATTTTCAACTTTCGGAACTTTATAGAAACATATTAAAGACAATCAAAGAAAAATTAAATGTGACAATTAATAATAAATATTCATTTCATAAAAATTATTAAACTAAATTAAAAACAAATTGTAGTGAATTTATTATTAGTACTCTGAGAAAACAATATAGTTGAATCAAACACAATTATCTTTATTATACAGTCAACCAAAAATTATTTTTGAATTAAACATAATTTTGATTCAATACATAAGTTTGATTCAAGAAAAATTACGTTTAATTCAATTATAAAATATGTTTAATTAAAAACCTATTTTTTTAATAAGCTACTTATTTTTTTCGTCTAAAAAAAATTTTTTTCTCAGTGTAATTTTATTTTTTTATAATTTTAAAACAATTAATTATTCCCTAATTTATTTACATGTAATGAATGAAAACAAATATATATTCATTTCGTATAATAAAAAAATTGTAGTAAAAATTAATAACTAATAAAAAGAAGCAGCAAAAATTGAAATAATAAACAAATTTTATTAAATAAAAAAAACTAAGGCAATTTAATTATAAAAAATTTTGTAATAAACGAAGTATATTTAGTAACATATATATAAGTATAAGAAAACTTTTTTTTCAAGTATAAAATTATATTTCTTATTAACAAATCTTCATAATAGTTAAATAAATGTCATAATAATTAAATAAATTGTTAAAAATAAATAAATACCTAATTATGTGATTACATTAATTATCATAATAATTGTATGATTGTCGTAATAATTAATTACTTAATAAATTGATAATAATTAAGTAATACCTAATAAATTATCCTAATAATTAATTATCAGTAATACCTAATAAATTGTCGTAATAATTATCATAATAATGTAATAATTAATTAATTGTCATAATATAATAATCAATTAATTATCGCATAATGATTAAAAAATAATCGAGTGATTAATTGTCCTATTAATTAATTGTCATAATATTTCATTGTAACAACAATTAATTAATTAGTTAATTAATTAGTTAATTAATTATTAACTAATTTATCAATTAATTAATTGTCATAATCTTTATAATTGTCACAATAAGTAATTATTTAATGAACTAATTGATTAATTAATAATTTGTCATAATATTTAATTGTCACAATAAGTAATTAATTAATTAACTAATTATTTAATTTATTTATTTGTTTATTGTCCTATTAATTGTCACAAATAATTTTCTGCTGCACACTTAACAAATTCTTGGATGTTTCAGACAAATATTTTTCTCCATAAATGTGTAAATATTCATTTATAATAATTAAAAGACCATTTATTTGTTAGCGTCTCTTCTCCACCCATAGAGCTTTTTAAACTAATGTCTAGAAAAAAATTCGTGCTAATAGATTCTCTGAAATTAGTGGAATAATATTTCTCTCAAAATTTGTACATATAGAAAAAATTTTCTCCACAGAAATGACATTAAAATTCAAAAATTTACAACTTTTAGACAACTATCAAGTTCTTAATAAAAATGAACAATTAATAATAATTAAGAATTAATTGCATTGCTTAATAATAATATTAGTCATTAAAAATAATGATATTATTAATAATCTATATTAATAATAATTAATATTATAATATAATATCAATAATGTTAATAGTCGATAATATTATAATATAATATCAATAATGTTAGGGGAATGTAGTCAAGGTTGGCCTACTGTCTAGGTAGGCCACTCGCGTTTTTTTGTCAAGTTCACTAGCGCCACCTACGCGCATTTTTGTCGAAGCTTGTCTTAGTGAAACCTAACTTTTTGTTCAATTACATTTTCGGAAAATCGAAAATTGTGTTTTCTGTGACGTCGGTACAAAAAAAGCTCAAAAAAAGTTTTGTGCATAATGTGAAAAACCATTAATAAAAGATAAAAAACAAATTGAATCGTCAAGGCAAGTATGCAGAAAATTTGTGGGACTCATGGTTGAAAGGAAAACAAAGTAAAAAATCGAATCCCGAAACGTATTTCTTTATGGTTACAACAATTCGGTAATGTTACTTACTGTCAAGGTCGGCCACTATGTGTTTAAAATGCGCAAAGTTGAGGACGAGCTACTTCATTTGCAAAAACTGCAATTCTGTATAACTCATAATATAATTGATCATCTTATTAATATTTTTATTCAATTTTATTAATATTTTAGTGCAAAACTTTTTTTTATTTATATTTATTTTTGTATATTGTTTATTGTTATTATTTTGTTATTTCATTAAGTTACAAACTGTAAACAATAAAGAATCAATTTTCCGTAACTCCAAACATGTTATTTTATTTTTTAACGATTAATGCCCTTTGAATTTTAAACATGGCCGACCTTGACTGTAATGGCCAACCTGGACTACAAATTTTTTTTTTTTTAAATCTTTATAACTTTTTCATTTTTAAACCTGTCAATTTACTTTGTACAGAAAAAATGTTCCTATTAAACAGGACTTTCCAACCATATACTTCAATTGTCCAAATTCATTTTTAAAAAAAAGTTATAAACAAAAGTCAAAAAGGTGGCCGACCTAGACTATGTTCCCCTAATAGTCGATAATATTATTAATACAATATCAATAATTAGAATCAAATAAAATTTATTTGAAACAAATAAAAAGTTCAGTAGACTCTAATTATGAGTCAAAAATAATTTTTTTTTCTCTGCGATTGTAATAAAACGATAATTTTACAATATAATAATGATAATTAGTAATAATTATTAAATTTAATGATAACTAATATTATTCGTAAGCAATAATTAACACAGCTAATTAATATTAATAAATTCATAAATGAAAAACGAAACAGAATGTTTGAATCTCTCTCTACAATTTTTCCTTTTAATTCATTAATAAAAAGAATCTAGTCTAATTTTTTGAAAAAAAATAAAAAATTGGCGTCCCTCTATTTTTTGAAAGAAAGAAAAGAAGAGAAGAAAAAAAGTAAGTGAAAACCGAGTGATCAGCTTTAGAATATATACTTGCGTGTTATTGATTGCAGGCATAAATTTTTTATACTCTGAATTTAAAAATATAATTAGATTATTAGTTTGACTTGTGATTAGATGTGAAATTACACTTGAGTTCTTGCTCATTGTTTTGACATTATTTTTATTATTATTATTATTATTATTATTTTTATTATTATTATTTTTATTATTATTATTATTATTATTATTATTACTATTATTATTATTATTAATATTATTACAATTATTGTTATATTATTATTATTACTATTATTATTATTAATATTATTAGTTATGATTATTATAAGTATTATTATTAAAATTATTTTTTTTTCATTATTAATATTATTATTATTATTAGGTATTTTGTTATTCTTAGAATTACAATACAAAAATAAAAAAAATCACAAGAGTGGAAAAATTTGTCTTCACGTTTACACACGTGACACATTGCAATTTTAGAGATGCAATAAATTTTTTGCGCGACTTTTAAATTTTAAATATTATTATTACTCCGAAATTGTGTTTTATATACTATATAGATATATAGTTTGAAAAAAACTGTTGTTAGGTGTAGATATAATAATTAATTATTCATTGTTTTTACATTCTGTTGATGAGAAACATTTGAGACCTTTTCCATTATACGCATAATATATAAATTGCAAATTGAGAAATTTATATTTAAATTCAAACACAATTTAATTATTTCAATATTCATTTGTAATCAATTAATTTTGAAAACTAATTGTTCATTTATACGAACAATCGATTGAAATTTCGAAACTACAATTCAATATTGTAATTTATTTATATTAAAAATAATTTTTTTTACTTTAAATATTATAATACAACTCTGATTATAAACTGTGTAAAAGAAATAATTAATTACTAAATTGTGAATTTTAATTAATTTTAATTAAAATATTAATTAATAGAATTTTTTAATTTGCAATATTTAATAAATCATTTTAATTAATTTAAGAATAACGCTTAATTTCTTGCTTTTTAATTAGTTACTTTTTAATCTTTAAAGGTTTAATATTTTATTTCTTTTTAATTAGTTAATTTGTAATTAATTAAAATTAATTATTTAAAAATTAATACTAATTAAAAAATATGAAATATTAAACGTTATTTTTAAATTAATTAATTAATTTAAAAATAACATTTAATATTTCATATTTTTTAATTAAATTTTTAATGAATTACTTTAATTACAATTCATAATTTTTATTAATCATAAATTGATTAAAATTAAAAATGAAATAAATTTCTCCATAAGAAATATTGAAATTTCAAAAAACGATAAGGAAAAGGTCTTGCATTTGAAAATGATAGTTTGATGC